CCAGCTACTGATTTTTATTTTTTCTGAGTTTGTCTCTCTAACTCCTCTGTGCTTCTCATACATAACAGCAAGGATCTCTGGCTCTGACTTGACAGATATTATTTCTCCTCTGTTACTTGGCTGTGCAGGAATCCTCAAAGCATATATTTACAAATGCTGAAGGCTGACTGTGTAGGCAGATGCTTTGTTTGTGGTCTGGACTCAAGGCAAAACAGAATAGACCCCATTCTGTTTTGCCTTTAGCCCACCAGCAACAGGCACTAAAGGGGAAGCCTATACTGTAGGCTCACCCATTAAAGTTCTGGTCCTCACTGGTTTCTAGCTGAAAAAAGGGAATTTGTTAGTCCATTCTCCAGTACCAATCATCAGTGAAACTTTGATGAGCCACTCAGCAGGTGTCTGTGGAATGAAATGTAGTCAGTGCTGCGCTGCATCAAGGATGAACCTGGAGGGAGAAATGCATTTTTTAAAATGGAATCAGAAAAAAGGGAGGTCAGGCTAAAGCACACAATGTTTTAGACACGACAAAAAAGCTCTTATTATGACCACAAAAAGTAATTTGTGCGCAGTATAGTATTTTGTGGGAACGTAATATATTTTTTTCCTCCATGTCAGTTCCTGGGCTCCAGAATAAACATACAAATGCTACAGAAACAACTTGAAAATATTGTGTTTTGAAATGCATGCAAGAGGCACTGTAGCTAAAAACAGGACTTGGTTCTGATCTAGTCAGGACATTTTTTATGATAAGTAATTAAAGTTCTGTTTTGAATGAATGAAAATGAATATGTCATGATCTTGGCTCTGATGGCTGGCTTAATTGCTCATTCCATTCACCTGTCTAACTGTGCCCAGTTGCTCATTACCGCTCATCTGATCCACCTGCTTCTGCCTATATTGTATGTAATTGCATTCACTTATCAGGCCCACATTGTTCTTGTTCTCTCTTGCCAGTGCTGAGAGGGTTTTTGAAGTTCCTTGGTGCTTCTGATTTCCTGATCCTGACCTGTTCTGCCTCTCAACCACTGAGCCTGCCTGTTCGCATCTGAACTGTCTTTGGATTCCTGGACATCTGAGCCTTCCTGTTCTGATCTGTTTCCCTGACCAGCTCCGACTCCTGCATGTTGTGCATCTTGACAGAATAAGTCTGCATGTCGTTTGACACAAGATATGTCATTGTTTAAGTTTTTCAAAAAACGTAGAACATTTTTTTGTTTTCTGTAAAACTTTTGGTAGCAACATGAAAGTAATCTAAGTGAATTAATCCACACATTTACTGGGAGAAGCGCTAGTAAAACATTAAATGTGATGACATGTTATCATGGTGATCTTTTATTGTTTACATGACCCACATTTCTGGTTTGTTACCGACAGCCGTCAGCCCCACTGCTCGTGAATGCACCATCAGTGCAATGACTTTTAACTGTCACCTCAACGAGAGCCGACACCTCCGGTGTCCACGGTGAGTTTCCGTTGTTTCCTTCCATCACTAAATGTAAGAACATGGCAGCCAGCACAGAGCTTACCATGTATAACCACTAATATATATGCTTATGAAAGGCACATTTAGAGCTTACATTCCGGCTTGTGTACGGATGTAGTTACTGATTAATGTTAAAATACCTTTAAATCAAACTAATACATTTTTGTGGATTGATAACAGGAAAAGTTGATCAATATCCCTTTAATGTTTAAGGTAGGTGTAAAGTGGACAAAGGAAAAGAGGTTTTCTTATGTTGATTCTTCCCTGATTATGGAGTCATGCTGAATGATTAGTTCATTTTCCAGTAACGTAATTTTGTTGTTGTATGGATGCCAGTAACAATATCTCCAAAATACTTGCTGATCCAGCTTGTCTCTATCATTGTTGAAGGTAATGAGATTGTACCGGTACTAAGTTGAAGCGGTACAGCGAAAGCTTCCTCTCTGCTAATGGGACTGATACATGCCCTGAGCTTTGCATAACCTCCCTCTTTAGGCTACACTTTAAAAGTCTTCCAAAACCTCTTGCTGAAGCTGGGTGTATTTAAGCTGTCCCCAAAAGTAAAAACTCTGAAGTTAAAGTTTCTCTCCTTAAAGCTTGTATTGCCCTTCTCATCCTACAGAAGGCAAATATGGCAACTTGTAAACACTTTTTTTAGTACCATTTGCTGGAGATACATTTTTAAATTACGGCTTGTACAAATTCTAAAGCATTAAGACATAATCCACCTTTTCTATGGATGCCATGCTTTTAAAGTACATGTGTTTTTTTTTTATTTAAATACAGTTATAGTACATAATCTATAGACCATTGCTGAAAGTTTACGTTGCTGTTCCTGTCCTGTTACTGTTTTAAGCATGTCTAAGTGAATTAAACATTCTTGATCTTGAATTTCTTGAATACCTGAAACCCTGTCTCAGAGGGATGTAAATCTTTCAGTGCAACGGGTAGCACTGTTGCCTTGCAGGAAGAAGGTTTTTGGTTCGAATCCCAGCCTGGGGTGTTTCTGCATCAAGTTGGTATGTTCCCCCTGCATAAGTGTTTGTGCCTCGGTGTTACCCTGCAATAACCTGACTCCGCCAGATGGATTTGCTCCGCATATCCGTCTGGAAACCTTCCGTTGA